TTTTAAATGACTTTTTATTTTCTTCGAGCATGATACTTTTGATGTCATTCCCATAACTTGTCTGCTCTTAGGTCATTAATGTTCAGTGCCTCAAATCTGTTCTTGAGATGGCCTCTAAATTCAGGTGGGATATACTCAAGATCATGTAATCAAAAGATGCCCATGGACTTGTTTTAATTTTCTCTAGCTCATCCTAAATCTGCATTTGAGCAATTGATGATCTGTTCTACTGTCTGAACTGATTTTGGCTGATGATATTGATCTTCTCCATCCTCACTTCCTACAGATGTCGTCAGTTAGATTCTTGTGTATTTCATCTGGCAAGATCTACTTGTATAGTTTCCATTAATGTTGTTGAACAAGGGCATTTACAATGAATAAGTCATTGGTCTCGTAAAAGTCTGTCATGTGCTCTCCAGTGTCATTTCTATCAACAAGGTCCTGTTTTTCAATTACTGATTATTCTTTGTTTCCAACTTTTGCATTCCTATCAAGTAATTATTAGTGCACTTTTTTTGTGTGTGTGTGAAACTTCTTGTTGTGAATTGAGTGGAAGTTTACAGAGCAAATCAGTGTTACATACAACAAATCTTATAGTTAATTTCATTTCAATGATTGCAATGCTCTCTATGCAACAGTGGTTATCTAACTTCTTTCCTGTGGTTCCTGTTCCCGCTCCACCCTCCTTTCTAATCCTTCTGAACTTTGTCCTTAAGTGAATGCTGCCTTTTGATCTTGAATGGTTGACTGTTCCGTGGTGAGCATATTTTACTAGTGTTGTTGTCCCCAGTATATGTCTATCTGCTGCTTGGTTGAAAATTGGGCCATGAGGATGAGTTCCTTTCTAGACCTGAAGGGTGGCTGAGGGCCATAGTGTCAGGTTCTTCCAGTCTCTTTCTGACTAGTAAGCTTGATTTTCTTTAAAATAATTTAGAGTTTTGTTCCACATTCTTTTCCACTCTAACTGGAACCTCTAATATGATCCCTTTCAGGACAGTTGGTAGTGGCGGCTGGCACAGTCTAGTTCTTCTGATCTCAGAATTTTGGAGACAGATATTTACGCGTTTCATTAGTCTATTGGACTAATTGATTTCAAGCATCTGCAATTTTCATCACATTTATTTCTTCTGCACATGGAGCGAACCAATAGTTGCACCTTATATAGCTGCTCTTGAGCTTTCAAGATTCCAGGCACTACTCACCAAATTAGGATGCAGAACATGGTCAGTTTTGTGGACTATGCTATGTCAATTGACCATGGTGGCCTCTGAGACAATGATTCTGAGCCTCCAGGTCAGCAACTCATTGCCTCAAGGTATTTGGTCATGTCATCATTTTGTCCTTTATATGCTCTACCTCATTCATAGATGTGTTTGCAGCAAAGGTAAATAGACATATACAAATATCCTCTGTCAAACCATTCTGTGTTTGTGGGTTTACTCCCACTCTCCATCCCATACCTGTTCAGCCTATGTATTTGTCTTTGTATCTACACATAGAACACTGTTGTTGCAGGGTTGTGTATATAATAGTATTTACCTCTATCTCCTTTAATCCATGCATTCTTCCCTGTGTCTTCGCCTGTCTTCATTCTTCTGTCAACCTCCATCTTGTTGTATATTGTATATTGTGTCTATCCTCTAGCCAGTGAATTACTCTTCTTTCTCTCCCATTCCAGTAGTCATCAAAGAATGTTTCTTTTAGCATGAAAACCTTTTCTTGAGTTTTTGCAATAGTGATCTTATACAGCCCTTTCCAGATTGACTGATTTCACCCAGCACAGTGTTATCAGTGCATCTTGAGTACATGTTTGATCAATTTGTGAAGAAAGAAGTTGGTAGAATTCTTTAATTTCTTTATCACTAACTTTGATGGTTGGTGCATATATTTGAGTAATAGTTCTGTTAACTAGTCTTCCTGGTAGGTATTTAGGTATTACCCTATTATGGACAGCACTGTAATTCAAGATAGCTCTTGAAATAATATTTTTGACAATGATTGTGATGTCATTCTGCTCAAATTTGGCATTCCTAGCATAGTAAACTATGTGATTTTCTGATTCAGAATGCCCCAAATCTGTCCATTTTGGCTCACTAATGCCAAGAGTAGCGGTCTTGGTGTGGTGCTTTAGGATAAGCTGTGGACCGCAAGGTTGGTTTGAACTCTTAAGGTCAGCAGTTCAGATTCACCAGCTGCTCCTCAGAAACCCTATACAGGGTTGCTGTGAGTCAGTACTTACTTGACAGAACTTAACAAGAACAGCAACAGTGCCAAGATTATAGATTATTTGTGCATTCAATTTGATTTTTGATGTCTTCCAGTTTTACTAGATTCATATTTCATACATTCCATATTCTGATCATTAATGGATGTCTACCACTGTTTTTTTCTCACTTTTTATCATGTCCATTAGCAAATGAAGGTTTTGAAACCTTTCCCGTATCCACATTAAGGTCTACATTACTTTGAGTAGTCTCCATCCTCTCTCCCCAAAGATGTGCCTTCCAGCCTGAAGGGCTTCTCTTCTAGCATTATATTATTGTTTTGCTGCTATTCATGAGGTTTTCAGGTGCTAATCCTACAGTAGAGGAGTCCTGGTGTGGCGCTGTGGGTTAATGCACCAGACTGCTAAAGCCATGTGAACTGCAAGGTCAGTGGTTCAAGCTCACCAGCTTCTCCTCGGAAACCGTATACAGGGTTGCTATGGGCTGGAATTGACTCAACAGCACTTAACAACAACAACAGTCCCTCAGTAGTGGACCACCTATTCCTCCTTCCTAGTCTATTCTTATTCTAGAAAGACTAACATAGATATGTATCCTGATATTAGAAACACCAGTGGCATAACTTTCAGAATTTGATTCTCATGGGAAAAAAGTGGAGGATAGGTAGATAGAATGAAAGAAACAAATGGGCTTTTACTTTTATTGTGGATTCTGGTGTGGCGCTATAGGATTAACACTGGACTGCTAGCCTCAAAAATATTTACTGATGAAGATGAAAGAGCACAGCCTTTGGTATGGGTATATCTCAATGTAAGGAAAACAAAAATCCTCACCACTGGACCAATAAACAACATTCTTATCAACGTAGAAAAGATTGACGTTGTCAATCACTTCATTCTTTTTGGATCAACTATCAACACTTAAGGAAGCAGCAGTCAAGAAATCAAACGACATATTGCATTAGGCAAATCTGCTGCACAAAACCTTTTTAAAGCATTGAAGAGCAAAGATGTCAGCTTGAGGACTAAGGTGCATCTGACCCAAGCCATGGTATTTTCAATAACCTCATACGCATGCAAAAGCTGGATCGTGAATAAGGAAGACCATAGAAGAATTGATGCTTTTGAATTATGGTGTTGTAGGAATATTGAAAATGCCATGGGCTGCCAAAAGAACCAGTAGATCTGTTTTGGAAGAAGTGCAGCCAGAGTGCTCCTTGGAGGCCAAGATGGCCAAACTTCGTGTCTCATACTTCGGACATATTGTCAGGAGGGACCATTCGCTGGAGAAGGATATCATGTTTGGTAAGCTGGAGGGACAGAGGAAGAGAGGAAGACCCCCAACGAGATGGATTGGCCAAGTGGTAACATCGATGGATCAAGCATGGCAACAATAATGAGGTTGGCCCAGGATCGGGCAGGGTTTCTTTCTGGTGTGCATAAGGTCATTATGAGTTGGCACCATCTTGATGGCACCTAACAACAACAACAGCTAGCCTCAAGGATAGTGGTTCAAACCCACCAGAATAATAATTCTGTTAACTGGTATTAGAAATACTATATAGGATTGCTATGAGTTGGAGCTGACTCGGTGGAACTAAACAGTAACAGTTTTATTCTCACTCATGTACCAGGGCTTCAAAATGTTCATGGAAAAATAGAATGGAAAGATAATAGAATTCATCTATGAACTTTTAGAAGCTCCTTCTATGCGGAGTCTCCTGTAGCATGTTTGCGGGACTGGGCTGTTGAATCAACAGTGAAATTTTAAAATTTGCTTTTAGATATTTTTTTCTTTTAGTTTAAAATGATATATAGGTTAGCAGAGGAAAGGTGAAGGTAGTGGGAGACACAGGGAGGAATGAAATCATTAAGTGAATGGAGGTAAATACTGTTAACTGTTGGTACATGGAGGGAATTGCAACCATGTGATGAAGCAAAGTCTATGATTTGCTGAATGTAAAACTGATGATCTGCTCTGTAAACCTTCACTCAATTCACAATAAAAAGTTGAAAAAAAATGATACATCATTTTGAACTTTGCTATCGTTATTTTTATATTATTAGGTTTAAGATAAATGTTCCACTGAAGAGAGAATTTTGAGGTTGTGAAGAGTATTACTAAGAGCATAGGCTTTTCTTTTTTTACTCCTTTCCATACAGGTAAAGATTTATTACAGAAAAGAGGCTTGCAAGTGAAACGGGGAGGACTTAATGCAGTGCTTAACTCCCTACTCCAGAACATACACTTTTCAAGGAGTCTTGCATTTTTATTTTATCTCAGCCATTTAGTGACGATATGATTATTTGGCCACTCTATTAAATGAACATAATTTATTTCATGGATTATTTGAGAATCAAATGAGATGGCATATGTAAAGCTCTTACACTGCCTGTTCTAGTAGGTGCTCAATTAATCATTGTTAAAGGATGTCAAGTCGATTTTGACTCATAGTGATCCTGTGGTAGGTTTACAAAGAATGGCTGGTGGGTTTGAACCCTCAACCTTGTAGTTAGCAGTCCAGTATAGCATCACACCAGGACTCTCAATGAATCATAGACACTAATTATCATTGCTATTTTGTTTCTTAGAATATAAGTGACAAACTTCCTTTTATTGTTAAAGACTGGATACATCTTGGGCTTTGAATAAATCAGTGCTTTTTGAAGGTAAATATTTAATATCTGAAAATCTGGAGCTAGAATATACCTTTGTAGTGAGAGCTCATTGCTTTTCATGTTGATGGTTTTAATCTCTTTTCCATTTCTTGTTTAGTGTCAAACCAGAAGAGAAGTAAAACTCAGAAAAAAATTATGTGTGGAGTTCCTTCTTAAGAAGAAAAAAAAGTGACTATTGAACTATGGATCGGAGCAAACGGAATTCAATTGCAGGATTCCCTCCACGTGTGGAGCGTCTTGAAGATTTGGAAGGAGGCGGTGGTGGGGATTGGAATGTGAATCATGTGGGAAGAGTTTGGCCATCTTCCTATAGGGCACTTATAAGTGCCTTTTCCAGACTGACGCGTTTAGATGACTTCACCTGTGAAAAAATAGGGTCTGGTTTCTTCTCTGAAGTGTTCAAGGTAAGTGATTCCTCAGCTTTTTATATATCATTTTCCTAATGGTCAGCTTCACTGCCAAGGGTTGATAACCAAAAAAACAATCCAAACCCATTGCCAATGAGTTGATTCATATCTATAGAAACCCTGTAGAACAGAATATAATTGTCCCATAAGACTTCTAAGACTGTAAATCTGTATGGAAGTAGACTGCCTCATCTTTCTCCCTCAGAGGAGTGACTGGTGAGTTCATATCATTGACCTTTTCAATAAGCAGCCAAATGCTTAACCATTGCACCAGCAGGAATTCTCAAAGGGTTGACAGCTGTGTTTCATTAGGTCCTAGGCTTTAACTGGATTCCTGGTGTGGTGCTGTTTGATCAGAACTGGCGTGCAAAGTACAAGGTGGGCTGTTCAAACCCATTAGCTAGCTGCTCCTCAGAAAACCTTTATAGGGTTGCTATAATTCAGAACCGACTCAATGGCACTTAATAACAACAAAGCTTTACCTAGATAGGGTGCTGTGGATTTTGAGAAGTGTTCCAAATCTTCCTCATAAGCAAGTAAGAAAATTTTATCTTGAAAAAAGATTTATAAAAATAATGCATGTTAATAAAAACTTCAAACAATACATGAGTTCCTTTAGCATCTGCTTATATCCCATCCCTATCCAAATGTGTACTTTCTTCAATATTAAGATTAATTTCCAAAGTAAGTATAGTGCTCTAAAGTTCACCAATGTCTTCCAAATGCCCTGGAACATAGTATGTGGTCAATAAATATCTGTTGAAAGAATGAATAAATTAAACCAGAATTTTTCCATTAGGTCTTTGTTAAATTTCTGCTGATCTAATATGTTCCCTCTATGTGGAAGGCAAATTTCTCAAGGCTGTCATGTAAGATTGTTTAATGTGTGCACTGCACAATGGTGTCTAGTTAAGAGAGCTATTAAGCTATTATCCTAAAATTTAGGATGTGTTTAGTTCACTTGGCATAATGCTACATCTATTTGTATCCATCCATTTTTCCTGGAACAAAGGTACATTCCACTTGACAAGCAATCACCCCAGGGTTGTTTTTACCCAGAGTTGTGGGACCTTTTTCTGCTTCATGTACACAAGAACACCTTTTTCTAATTCATCTATCCAGAGGTGGGTTTACATAAGAATATTATAGGCTTGCAAAAGCTCTGAAATTGAAAGTATTAATATTATTACAACTAGCTCCTCTTTTTTTTTTTTTAAGTAGGAGGGAAGAGAAATGTTAATCCCGTATATTTAAATGTAAAGATAAGTATTTTATATTTATTACATGTATTTGGTACCCTAGACTTTGTGTGCTTCCATGCATTTACACATGCTATAGTATTTATTTTTTCTATCTAGAAAAAGCTTTCTCAATTACTTGGATGATTCTCATTCCTCCATTGCTGAGCTCAGTCTTTTCCACTCTGATGTGACTCTTTTCCTGATATATTCCTTCAGGTTAAGCAATCCTGTTTGTATTCTTACAGTTACTTGAGCTCTGGTAGCATAGTGGTTATGAATTGGGCTGTGAGCTGCAAGGTCAGCAGTTCAAAACTACCAGCTGTTTTGCAGGAAAAAGATTTACAGCCTCGGAAACCCTGTACACGGTTGCTATGAGTCGGAACTGACTCCACGGCATATAACAACAACAACATGTTCTTTTCTGTTATTTTGCTCTCCAGAGAAGGTTTATATGTTTAGAAACTACAGTGTAAAAATTATTGCTTTAGGAGGGCATAGGGCTAGGGCTGATTTGCAATTATAAAGATGTGTTTCCTATAGGATTTTAGTGATGAAGCCTTAAATGTATAATTATAAATACAATTTTATCACATGCTAAAGTATATAATACATTGGCATAAAAATGACAAAAATAAGCATAGATTTCATTAAGTAGATCTTGAAAAATCACATCATAAAATCAAACCAGTTATGGTATTGGAGGAGAATATTAAAAGCACCATGGACTGACAAAAGAACAAACATTTGTGTTGGAAGAAGTACAGCCAGAATGCTCCTGGAAGGGAGGTTGGCTAGACTTTTGTCTCTCATATTTTGGACATATTATCAGGAGGGACCAGTTCCTATAGAAGGACATCATGCTTGGTGAAGTGGGAGGTCAGAGAAAAAGAGGAAGACTCCCAACAAGATGGATCCCAACAAGACTCCCAACAAGACTCCCAACAAGATGCACAGTGGCAGCAGCAGTGGGCTCAAACATAGTAATGGTTGTGAGGTTAGCGCAGGACGGGGTAGTGCTTTGTTCTGTTGTGTGCAGGGTTGCTATGAGTTAGCACCAACTCAGTGGCACCTAACAACAACAATATAACGATTTAACAGAGGATATTTGAACATACAAACATACCCATGAATACAGTGGAGCACACAGGGGGTCAAAATTATGAAAACTTCTTAGATGTTACCAAACACCTTGAAGAATGAGTTGCTGGGGCTGGGGACTCAGGATAATAGTCTCTGGGGACTTCAAGATCAACTGGCATAACATAATCCATAAACACAACGTTTTATCTCCTGCTTTGATGAGTAGCAGTGGTATTTTGAAAGCTCACAAGTAGCAGCTAAGGTGTAACTATTAGTCTTACTGTGTCTGGAGGAAAGAAGAGTGATGAAAATTAAAGACACTTGGAAACAATTAGTCCATGTTCACAGTATGGACCATGTGAACATTAGTGTCCACAACACTGAGAAAAGAAGGTGGTATCTGGCTACCACTACCAACTGCTCTGAAAGAGATTATTACATAGAAGGTCCTGCATAGAGTGGAAGAAAATGTGAAACAAAACTCAAAATCATAAAAAATACCAGGCTTCTTGTCAGATACAGTCTGTTAGAACCCTGAGATTATCACCTTTAGTCACCCTTCAGTCTGCAACTGTGACTCAATGTTCAGCCATGCAATAGTAAGGTAGTATGCACACTATAGAATAGCAAACCTTTTGAAATCAAAAGGATAACATTTAAGGACAAAATTCAAAGGCTTTTTGAAGGAAGAGGAATGGAAAACAGAAATGTAGCAGGAAGTGGGAAAAGTGATGTTACATTGAGATGAAACTAAGTATATGATTTGTTGAATGTAAAACTGATGATCTGTTCTTTAAACTTGATTCACAATAAAAACAGAAACAAAATCAAAGATAATGGAATTCTTCTATTAATTTTTGTTGTTATTAAGTGCCATGGAGTCAGTTCTGACTCATAGCAACCCTGTATAGGGTTCCCAAGGAGCGGCTGGTGAGTTTGAACCACTGGCCTTGTGGTTCAAACCAACATTGCAGTCCAGTGCATTAACGCATAGTGCCACACCAGGATTCCTGCCCTTTGAAATTTTCTGTTCAGCTCTTTTACCTTCACATTTCTTCCATTCACTTTGCCATCTCTTTGCTAGAGAGCAAGTTCCAGTCTCTCTTCGGATATTCGTTTTTTTCTTTTCTTTTTCTCTCGTCTTCTTAATGATCTTTTGCATTCTTCCTGTATGATGTTGTTGATGTCATCTCACAACTCCATTTGGTATTCTGTCATTAGTGTATAATGCATCACAATCTGTTCTTGAGATGGTTTATCAGTTTAGGTGTGGGATATGTTCAGGGTCATATTTTGACTCTCGTGGACTTATAATGTTTTCCAGCAGTCGGAACTTCCATATGAGCAACTGATGATGTATTCCACTGTCAGTCGTTGCCCTTGCTGTTGTTGTTGTTAGGTGCCATTGAGTCGGTACCAACTCATAGTGACCCTGTACACAACAGAATGAAACACTGCCTGGTCCTGGGCTAACCTTACAATTGTTGCCACTCTTGAGCCCATTTATGCTGCTATTTTGCCAATCCATCTCGCTGGGGGTCTTCCTCTTTTTCTTCTGAGCAACCACCTTACCAAACATGATGTACTTCCCCAGCGATTGGTCCCTCCTGACAATATGTCCAAAGTATAAGAGACAAAGTTTGGCCATCCTGGCCTCCAAGGAGCACTCTGGCTGCACTTCTTCCAACACAGATTTATTGTTTCTTTTGGCAGTCCATGGCACTTTCAATATTCTCCTCCAACACCATAACTCAAATGCATCAATTCTTTTGAAGTCTTCCTTATTCATTGTCCAGCTTGACATGCATATGAGGTTATTGAAAATACCATGGCTTGGGTCAGGCGCTCCTTAGTCCTCAAGGTGACATCTTTGCTCTTTGGCACTTTAAAAAGGTCTTGTGCAGCAGATTTACTTAATGCAATATGTCATTTGATTTCTTGACTGCTGCTTCCATGAGTGTTGCTATTTGATCTAAGAAGAATGAAGTCCTTGACAACTTCAGTATTTTCTCCATTGATAAGAATGTTGTTTATTGGTCCAGTGGTGAGGATTTTTGTTTTCCTTACATTGAGATGCAATCCATACCAAAGGCTGTGCTCTTTGATCTTCATCAGTAAGTATTTTAAGTCTTCTTCATTTTCAGCAAGCAAGGTTGTATTATCTGCATATTGCAGGTTGTTAATGAGTCTTCCTCTAAACCTGATGCCATGTTTTTCTTCATATAACCAAGCTTCTTGGATTATTTGCTCAGCATACAGGTTGAATAAATTGTGGATGATGATCTTGAGCTTTTCTACTGTCTCTTCCCACAGATGTAGTCAATTTGATTGCTGTTGTATGCATTCCATTTGGTGAAGTCCATGTATGTTATTGTTGTGGTTCAAACCGACTTTGCAGTCCAGTGCATCAAGCCACCATACCACACCATAGTCGGTCTTTATGTCGTTAAAAAAAAAAAGATATTGGCAGTGAAGAAGTCATTGGTCTTGCAAAATGCTGTCATGTGATCTCCAGTGTGATTTCTATCACCAAGGCCATATTTTCCAACTGTTTATCCTTCCTCTTTGTTTCCAACTTTTGTGTTCCAATTGGTAGTAATTATCAAATATAACTTTCTTTTTGTAGTTTTTTTTTTTTAATGTGAGGACCATTATCCAATTTTTTTTAAATAAAAA